TGTTAAGGTTTGGTTTGGTTGGCCCTTGCATGCTCCATGCACTTGTAGTGCAATTCCATGAATTAGCCTAATGTGTATCATGCTTTAACATGTCATTCTAGCATGATTTTGGCTTAACTCTAAGAAACTTTTGGTCATGTTTTAGCATGCTTAAGCTTTGATTTTTGTTGTTTTGGTTGTGCATGCCATGATTTGTATAGCTATGGTTCATCTTAGCTTGTTAGCTTTGTGCATCAAGTCCACTAGCATGCATTTCTTAACCTATTTGAATGATTTGGCATCATTTGTTATGTGATTTCAGAGCATGTTTCGTTACCATACACTCCATGTTTCACTCTTTCAATGCCTTTGGAGAGTTGTGTTTTGTGCCTTAAGCTTGGGCTAATATGCATGCATGTTTGTATAGTCCTTTAAGCTTTTATCTTAGCATGTTTTGCCACTGCTTTGGGCATGATGTAACTCTATTTTGAGCTGGTTTGGATGTTTGAGCATTATGATGCATGCTTATAGTGTTATTCTTTTAACTAGCCTTGGTGCTCTTGGCCCCTTAACATGTTGTGCATGAGTATTTGCATGATAGAGTCTTGTATGCCATCTTAACATGTCAAGCTTAGCGAGATTGTTTGCATAACATGTTGTCTGTGTGCATTGCATTGCGTTCAATCGGGCGTTACGTTGAACACAGGGTGGATTAGCTCATTTCATACTTGAAGTGATGAAGTGAGCAAATCACCCTTGGTCTCCATTTCCTTTGACTTCCCATGATAAGGAAATGGTCTTGGTGTCTTATTTGTCACGCATTTATTGAATTTGCACATGTTGGGTTCTTGGCCATCATGCATCGAGATGCACGATTGATGGTCTTGAATCCGATTATGCCTCTCCCTCGATATTTTGAGGTGATATGGAGTGGCATAGTGCGTACATACCCTTGGGAGACCCTCTATTTTCTCTATTTTGTGCTCTGCTGCAGCTTGGTGTCACAGCACACCGGTGGCCGGCACCCTCTTATTGTTGGCCGGCAGATCTTCATTTATGGCCGGCAATGTGCACTCTTGGTCGGCAGAGGGTCGGCAGCAGCTCCTCATGGCTGGCAGGCCACTGGTGCACTCCTCAGAATGTTTTTGGCAAGATCCAGCAGCTAGTTCTCAAGGACACCCTGCAGGTAGAGCCTCTCAATAGCATTTGGAGAGTTTTCGGGACGAGAATCGAGCATGCATCCTTCCTTGTTCAAGGCAGAGCTGAGGCAGCCTAGTTTACATACTTTAATTCTTAGCATGAATTTGTAATTTAATTAATTCATTTGATTAATTAGTTAAAGCATTGTAATAATTAGCTTAGTGTTTGCTAGTTATTCAATTTGGTTGTGTAATAATTAGTCTAATTAGATTATTAGATTAGTTGTTTAGCTTAGCGTAGCTAACTTAGCGTAGCTAACTTAGCGTATTCATTCGGGCCCTCCGTCGAGAGGGTGAATTTTGTAATAAGCATGCGTGTGTGTATGAATGTCTTCCAACATCACGTCTTTCTCCCTTATACTTACCTGCTTTCAATGGTTAGTTTTAGGGCATGTTTCAATTAGCATCCTTATGCTTACATGCGTGCATCCATTCATCTATCTTGTGTGCACTGGGCTCGGCGCATCATACTAACTGCATTGTATTTCTATTTCGATTTGAATACATGTTATCAAGTTGCATTTTATATGCCATCTTAGAATAGTCGAGCCTTAGCTGCATTTTGCATGTGTCGCATTAGGCATTGTTCACATAGCTAGAATAATGCATTGATTACTAACTAGCTATTGTTTTAGCTCGGGGTACACTGTAAGTGTTTATACTTTAGCATCTTGCATGAGTGTAAGTGTTACCATGATAGCATGCTTGCCATGAGGCTATTTGCTTAAATGATATAACTGCATGAATGCCTGTGGGTGAAGGTTGGATTACTTGAATTGGAACAATTCATCAAATCCCTAATTTAGTCTACTTGCGAGTAGCAAATTTCAAACCTTTTTCAAACGAACGTGCAATGTTTTGTTCCAACTTAGGCGATCTAGTCTATACTTGTATGTTGTGCGCATCACGTAGTAAGCTAGCTAATAAACCGGAATAAGAGCGCATGTGTTTTCAAAAACAAAATATCATGTTAGTAAAGGCCGATCTTTGATCGGGCGAGCGTTGGAACAATTCATCAAATCCCTAATTTAGCCTACTTGCGAGTAGCAAATTTTAAACCTTTTTCAAACGAACGTGCAATGTTTTGTTTCAACTTAGGCGATCTAGTCTATACTTGTATGTTGTGCGCATCACGTAGTAAGCTAGCTAATAAATCGGAATAAGAACGCATGTGTTTTCAAAAACAAAATATCATGTTAGTAAAGGCCGATCTTTGATTGGGCGAGCGGGGATGCTGATTGCATGACTGTAGACGTCCCCCGAACGCCCCGGGGAGGAACGAGTCCCCCGCCGTTCCGTTCGATATTGGGCTCACTACAGTTCAGGACTCTTAATTTGTCACGGTTCTAAGTCTGAACCAAAGAGTCCAAATCCGACAAATCGTTTTGAGAAAACAGATTTTTGAAAGAAGTGCCAAACATGGACTGCTTTGCCAGATACAGAGTCGCCACCTAAATGTTTTATTTTGAGAAAATTTAGGAAACCCTGACTCGTTTGCCTAAGGCCACGTGTCCGTCATCACCAAAGTTGTCTCGGCTCGGGAACTTGGGTACGATTGGGGAAGGTCACTTCGTGAGCACCCCCGTTCGCCCGATCAAAGATCGGCCTCTACTAACCATCACAGCAGGAAATTTTGCTTTTAGTGGCGTTTAAAAAACGCCGCTAAAAGTGCCAAAAACGCCGCCAATTCTTTTTGTGACGCTTAGCACCAAATGTCGAGGACGCAGCCGTCGCTATAGCTTTATGGCGTTTTAAAAACGTCGTGATATTAGTATAGGCGACGTTTTTAAAAACGCCGCCAAATGTCCTCCTAAACACGCGCCAAATGTCCTCACGACATTTAGCGACGTTTTTGGAAAAATGTCGTCATATCTTTTTTAAACAAATATGACCGTTAGTATGTAAGATTTAAGAGGCGTTTGTAGAAACGCCGTCATATCCTTTTTTTTTTTTTTTGAAAATTGTACTAATTTTATTTGATTGAGCTAAAAAAATATCTGCAATAGCACTAATATAAAATAACAACTCCCATTCAAATAGTTGTAATGAAGCATTAATTCACTTTCTCATTCAATTAATATCCAATCACCATTACCCACAAAATTAACATATCCAAAATCTAAAAATCATGTTTTAACGTTAGCCACAAACTAACATATATCCAAAAATTATGTCTTAACATTAACCACAAACTAACATATATCCAAAAATCATGTCTTAGCATTAAAGTTGTAGTCTTCATTGGTCTACATGCTTACATCATAACATAAACTGTAATAAGATTCACCAAAATAAACACAAATTGAAGAATTCGTACCCAATACTTAGCAAAACACCATTCTTTCTAAAAAAATTGCAAAAATAAAAAAATGAACCCGGAAGGATCTTCATATGCCAGACTAAATGTTTACCAATTCAAAGAGCACCCTGTAGGGAACGCAATGCCTGCTTGTAGACTATTCTCCCATATCACCTTACGGACGGTATTCTCCAGGATTTCACATAAGTCAATCATTAACATCCCAGGCTTCAAAATACCTTTGATGTATTTTCGAACCTAAAAGCAGGCAAACAAAACGTTTTATGTGATAAACCAGATGTAGAAATCCTCACTGAAGTTTTTGCCAGCATTAACAGAAAGTAGATTCCTTTGTTTCTATATTAGCAGTTGTATGTGCATTGTTTCATATAAGAGCAATTAGAAAATAGAAACCTGATGATGAACTTCTGCAGCTCAACTAACAGAATTATATATGGGTTTTTCCAGACGCTCCAACTCTCTCTTTTGTTCAGATGTAGTCCTCCATAGGTTACTGAAACAGAACCAACAACAATGAAAATCAAGCCACAAAATCAATGGAAACAAAAAAGGGATGCAAAATAAGTAAGGGGGAATCACAATGGTAAATGTAAACATGGCTAATAAGAGACCCAAAATTAAGGTTCCATACCATAAACAAAAGCATTTATATTGAAGTGATCCAAAGTACACAATTATGCCTCAAACTACTACTAACCAACACTAAGCATAAACAATGGTAAAAAATCCTACTACAAAAACCTTCATCAGCCAACTGATCTCTTGATTTCACAAAAAGGAATTGAAATCAATCCTCTATTGTCAGTGTAGCAACCTGCTCACACAAACGGAAAGTTTATTCTAAAGGTGATTCTTCAAGTAACTAGGACTTAGGATGCACTTGCCTGGAAAAAATAAAGAAAAGAATAGAAAATAGCAGTTCACTTACCAACTGAGCAACAACAAAAGCCACCACTAGCAAAAGGCCAGGACGTTCAACGAAAGACCAACTCCTAGAACGTGTCACAAATATTAGGGCCTGACTGATGATACTTACTTGCAAGTATATTGCTGATGCAAGCTTCCTGAAGTCATCATGAGCTATTGCTTCAAGAGTTGAAACCCCAAATATGCGCTGGAAATTACACAAAAGGAGAGGAAAATATGTCTCAAGACCAAGCATAACACTGATAGATCAGTGAAAAGAAGAATCATTCAGACTTCAGTCTAGAAGTAAATAATAAAAATTGCATACAGGGACAGTGAAGGCGCTTGAATTTGGAATGCATTTTCAAAATTTCACAAGATCAGGCACACTTCAAAATTTTGGATTTATCAATTACATAGAGCCTAAAATAAAATGCAAATAACAAGCATATAAACATCATACATTCTTGAAAATGTCTCATTAATGAAAACTGTATATCAATATTTAGCAAATCTAAACTACTATGTTAAGCCAGGACCAGGGCTGGTCACCAATTCACAAAATATGAAATCCTTTGGTATATAACCTATCAGGTGTATCCAATCAACTATTTCATGACCCATTTACTATAGTTATAAGTTTTCTTACAGGAAAAAAGTTTGTCTTGTATGCTGGCCAAAAGAAAATGACTGTCATCATGGCCAAGTAACCACCAAGAATGACTCCAGTTACAAAAATTTCTGCCAGCTTCCAGCTATCAGGCTGAGGAGATGGTTTCACCCTATCCTTTGATATTGCCATGATGGTACCTGGCATGCCATATAGATAGTATGTATTTAGAACCACACACACACACACAAATCGAGGCTAATGACAAGAAAATGAGAAGAAATATTCATGAATCTACATGTAGAAAAGGTAAGTAAAGTGTGACAAAATACAAACCATCATTGAGGATGGCAATGATCAGCACCATGAAGGGTGGGAAATCAAACCTCCATATGAGGGCGAGCAACATAAAACCAAGCTGTCAAAACAGAGATAAAAGAGAATTAGGTACAAGGAAGACCACAAGCCATGACAAGAGGATCCTATCAAAAAATATGTAATTATGCTAGTAAAAGTGCAAATAATTTTTTTAAAAGAGTTTCAGTTATCATCCTAAATTAAAACACTTACCACAATACGAATAGTAATAGAAACCGCATATATCTGCACCATGAACACCCAAAGCATAAAAAAAAAAAATTAGTCAATTAAATAATCATAGCAGCATTTGTACAAGTAATGGATGTATTGTACACTTGGATGCAACCCAACTAAAAAAATAACTTGTACTCTGCTAAATTTAGGTGTCAGACAACTTCATGATCAGAACCCAAACTTACTGCATATTGAAAAGTAACTCCAAATAGAGCACAGCTGATGAAGGTGGTTGCTAAAGGGAGAATTAGCTGAGAAATGTCGGTTACTTGAGTTACTTAGTAACTCCAAGTTGCATATTTTTTCTCATTATTTTTGTTACTTAGTTTAACTCTGAAGCAGAGTACTATTAGTTTAGGAAGTTGGCCGAACAAGCTCAACTCCATAAAATACATTTCAATTGAACAAGGAATGTAAATTGAGCATTGCTTCATGTTTTTCTTTTTCATCCATTTCTCTTTTGGGTAGAATGACTGCAAGTTTCTCTCGCATGATGACAAGTTTGGGATTCAAAATTTTATGCCATCAAAGTTCACATAGTTCTGGTAGTTGAATAGCTAGCAATATCACAGCAATGTATTGGCACTAAAAGAGACAGGAACTAGTTCAAGCATATATTCAATCAACAATGTTGCCACAGGAAAGAGTACATCTCACAAAAAGAAAGGTATACATGTATGTAAAAACAAACATATACAACTATTTTACTATATAAACCATACACCTAATTTAGTGCGAACATTGTCACGCTTTTTATTTTTTCAAAAATATCATTCACATTCAATTATCACCAGTCAAAAGCTGTAAAACGATTTTTTTCATTCATCACAGTCAAATGCTAATAAGTGCCCCATCGGCATTGTTTGAGATTTGTGTAAAAATTATTATAGTTTAAAAAAGGGTGAAATTATGAAGTTAATAAAAAGTGCACTTTTTTTTGGAATATCGAAAAGTAATCCCGAGATGAATCACCGAACTGAAAAGGAATTGAAGAAGAATCACTGAACTGAAGAAGAATCGAGAGAGATTTGAATGAGAGAAAGAGATAGCAACTAACCTCTGATCGAAGAAGATGAAGACTTCCAAATCCACAGAGATAAATCGCGAAGTCGTGCTCAAAATCAAAGTTCGAAATCGCAATCCTGAGATGAATCACCGTACTGAAGAAAAATGAAGACGAATCACTGAATTGAAGAAGAATCGAGAGAGATTTGAGTGAGAGCAAGAGAGTGAGTGAGATTTGAGTGAGCGAGAAAGAGGTGGCGGTGCTCAAGATAGGGTTTTCAACATAAAGGTTTGGAGAGACAAAAGTGGGTGTGAAGAGAGACATGATTTGGAGGCGCTTTTTAAACGTCTTCAGTTAACAAAACGGTACCGTTTTACTTAATAACAATTGCGACGTTTAAAAAACGCCGTTAATTGTTAGAAAGAGTGACGTTTAATAAAATGCCATTAATTAAACGCCATTAAATCCCCAATTTCCTGTAGTGCATGATATCTATTTTTGAAAACATTATGCGTTCTTATTCCGGTTATTAGCCTAGATTTACTATGTGATGCGCACAGCATACAAGTATAGACTGGATCGCCTGAATTGGAACAAAACATTTCATGTTAGTTTATTTTGAAAATGGTTTGATGGTGCTACCCGCAAGTAGGCTAAGACATGGATTTGTCACCCTCGGGTGGGCTTAGAAAAGATGATTTTGCCACTATCTAATGGGCTTAAAACAAACAGTTGATGATTTATTCCAATCTAAACAACCCAACCTTCACCCACAGGCATTCAGGGCTTTAGAAAATATGATTTTGCCACTATCTAGTGGGCTTAAAACTAACAGTGAATGAATTGTTCCAATCCAAATAACCTAACCTTCACCCACAGGCATTTAGGCAGTTATATCATATAAGCACATAGCCTTATGGTAAGCATGCTATCATGGCAGTCACTCACACGCATGCAAGGATGCTAAAGCACAAAAACTTACCGAGTACTCCAAGCCAAAAAAGAAGCTAATTAGAAATCCATGCATGATCCTAATTATACAGAAATGCCTAATGCAACACATGCAAAAATGCAACTATAGCAGGCTCGGCTATTCTAAACATGACATATGAAATGCTGCAGCTAATATGTATTAAACTTGGAATTGAAAATACAATGCAGTTAGTATGATGCGCCGAGCCCGGTGCATGCTAAACAGATGAATGAATGCAAACATGCTGTCATACTGTATGCTAATTGAAACATGCCCTAATCTAACCATCATAAGCTGGTAAATAAAAGAGAGAAAGACGTGGAGTTAGAAGACGTACATCACACACACGCACACTTATTACAACATTGCCCTCGCGCAGAGGGTCCGAATAAATAATATACAGTCCCAAATGAATAATTACAGTCCAAATATGTACAAAACTCTAATTAATTAACAAATTAAATTAAGAAAGCAATAAATTGGCGTGTACGCCAGGGACTGCCTCAAATTTGCTCCGAATGATGAATGATGCATGCTCAGGTTGCCTTGTGCGGAGAATCCCTCGCGATGCCCCGGCTTGCCTCTGTTTGCAATTGTTCTTGGAATGCGTGTCAAGCTTCTTCAGATGATGAATGATGCATATCCGGGTTGCCTTGCGCGGAAATCCACTGGGATCCCCAATTAGCCTCTGTTTGCGATGGTTCTTGGAAAGCGCGCCAAACTCCGGAAGGCTACTGATTCTTGATTTGCTGCAGCAGAGAGCAGGAAAGGGGCATGGCAATGTATTTTCACATATGTATGCATGTCTCGATCCTCGTGTCACCAATCACGCATCTCGATGCATGATGGCCGAGGAGTCGATTTGCATGACTCAATATGGAATGAATGCACACATAAACACAACGAAACCTAAACTCCATCATGGATAATCCGGAATGTCGGTGATTGGGAATTGAGACACGTTCCGTCACTCGAAGTACGAAACGTCCCTCGTTTCCCGTGCTCGGGCTAATTCCTATCCGAAACACGATGCAATATGCATGATATGCATGAATGCAACTAATATACAACCTAGCATGCACAATGCTATGAAATGGCATACACGATGCACGAGATAACATGGCATACACAATGCGCTAACATACAACCTAGTATACACAATGCTATGAATCGAAATGGCATACACAATGCACAATGGACTTACACCAATATGATTGAACCTCAGCCACACTCACATAAGAGGCCATGAGATGAAAATGAGACACTCGAAATGCGTGCACGCATGCACGCAAACCGAGGACCGAACCTAAGGCACGAAATGCCACTCTAACAAGACATGACAAAGCATGGAATATGGCATACTAGCATGCAAATTTCAAAGGCAATAAGTGATGCAAAACAGCCCCGAAAGATGGCAAAATGACACCTGATGCATGAAATGAGACCCGAAATGCAAAACTAGGCATACGCAATGACCTATAGCTATACAAAGCATGCATTATTTGAACATGGAATGTAAAGACAGAGTCAAGAAAGCCCAAAAATAAGCACATTTACAGTTCTAAGCAAGGTCAAACAACGAACGCAAATGGGGCTAAACTAGCATGCAAAAATGGCCCCGAAAGCAAGCTAATGAAGCAAGTGACAGCCGCTGACCCCAAACAGAGAAGGGCCCTTCTACAATGTCGAAGAGGGGCCCAAAATATGGTATTTTACAGTTTATAACCAGACCCAAAACAGTGCACAAACATGCTCAAAATGCTATGCAAAATAAGGCCAAAAGAGAGCTATAACACAAAGTACAAAAAGGATGCCTCAAATATGGGACTACCTCTTCGATCCTGATCCCGATAGAGCCTCCGATGCCCGGCCACCGATATGTCAGAGACCCCGACTCACCCCCGGTATGTTTTACAATTTTGATTCATTACTTAGATACTTGGACGTTCATTCCTTCACTGATACCCTTGCCTTTGCATATGCAGCCCCCTATGGAGTACATGGATTAGGTGCTCGAGATGGTAGCCTCACTTGAGGGGATGGTCCTGCGGAGGGAGGCACAGTTGTCCATCATGGACTTGCAGGTACCCTTCAGTTTTCTGGCATTTACCATACTTCTGATGACATGCTGATTTTGAACATCTCACTGCATTGATAGGCTACTTGTGTAGAGCACATCTGACACACACCCCACTCACACACCGTATTGATATGTACCCATTTCATGTAGTTTTCTTGTATCTGCATCTGATGCACATGTTTTGGCTGATGTATTCAAACTGCATTCTTCATTTTCAGATGCCCCTGGTATATGCTCAGCCGCAGGCTGGGCCACCTGGGCCTTCTTGGGGAGGTGGACCATCCGGGCCTTTTCGAGAAGCTGGGCCATCTGGGCCTTTTGGAGGAGCTGGGCCATCCAGGCCTTTTGGAGGAGCTGGGCCATCCAGGCCTTTTCGAGGAGCCCGAGGAGGGGGGTCGTCTCGCAGACGCAGAGCGCACATCATCCAGGAGGAGGCCGATGAGGATGAGGAGGAGGAGGTTACAGATCGTCAGTCGGAGACATCTGCTGACAGAGAGGACGGCTCTGGTCTTGGTTCTGGGAGTGTAGGCGAGGCTGAGGGGGATCCCGAGGATGACGACTCCGATTCAGATGATGATGATGGCGATGGTAGCGGAGAGTCTATTCCGCAGAAGAGGACGAAGAGGGCCTCTTATTCCTGCTCTTGAGAGCACAGATGCGGCTGTTTCCTGTTTTATTTATCTTTTTGCTAGTAGTTGTAGCACATTGTACATTATCGGGCAGTTTTATTCTTTGTAAAACTTGTGCCTTAGGTTGATAGATCTTCGGGGAGAGTCCGATACACTTGGTTCTCTTCCCATTTCCGGCGGGTGGAGATGGAGCCCGGGACTCCTGATGAGGCAGCACAGTATGCCCGCGACTTTTTGATGTTCCTCTTTGGGACCACTTTGTTTGCCGACAGA